AAAAAAAAAAAAAAAAAAAAAAAAAAAAAAAAAAGACAGCCATTTCGGAAAATTTTCATTAAGATTCATTTTGCACTTTGTCCATGGAATGTTATATGTTAGACTTCCAAGATATAATGCTTTGGACGAGCATTTAAATTTAGTAGCAATAACAACCAGTTTGGTTATCTGTAGGGGCATTCCTGAAAGAGTTTATCCCTTCAGCAAAGGAGTTTGCCACAATCTATACGATTTCTGCTGTCACAGAAGCAACATATATAACTTGGAGCCCCTGCCTTCGGCTCAGATGCTCGAAGAGAGATCGAGACCGTACACATGTTCGGACATCACGAGGTGTAGATGCTGCTGACTTATTACACTGTACTATTTGCTTAACATTCTTTCAGTTACCACTAGGTTATGGTGGTTGGTGTAGGAAGAAGCTTGCATGTTTCCTGCATCCCCTTCCACATTGAAATAGCTGCAGCACAATTAGCTTAGGTAGCCTCCTTGCTTATTCTGGTGTAAAATTGTGTGTTGGTGAAATAGATGCTTTATATCAAAACTGGCCTCTCTAATGGACCGTTGCATTTCTGACTTTCTCCAAGCATGACATTTAATAGAAGTATAAACTGATTTGGTTTGTTTTTTTGGCTTAACTAGCTGAACCAAGATGATTGGGCATTTCCATTTAGCCAATCCTACTAGACTCGTGTTAAGTTCAATTTGGTTTAGATTAGGTTAGTTCGGGTTTCTGATCGCCCTAGAATTCAAGGACCCAAAGCCTACACACACCATGATAAGTTCATCAATATATCTCAACCAATATTGTATAAGAATTGCATTCTGAATATCATAATCTCTGATTTTTTTACAGTATTTGATTATATAGGGTGTTGTAAAACAGCTAACAAAAGAATACTCCTGGTTTATTTGAATGCAATAAGGTTGAGTAATTACATGCCCCATTGGCAAGTAATTAACAACATTCTGACTAAGTTCAAGTTTTCCTGTACTTGAGAGCTTCAAAGCGAGCAGCAAGAGTGTCATAATCAGGCAGCTTGGGGTGGACACGAGATGAAGGTATCGGTGGAGGATTCCCATCAGGAGGTCGACTAACACCTCCGTCAGCTCCGTCGTCCATTTGAGTTTCTTCTTCACAATCCGATTCGTCGAACTTTATGTCGGTAGGATTATAGCTGTGTCTCCTGTAAGCCATATCATAATCTGTATTTACATTCGTTGTTCTCTCTTCTCCTGCCTTGAACTGATGATCAATATGATGAGAGCAGATCGGGGTAGAATTAGCAGGAGGGCTGAGATCGAAACCCGAGTTGAGAGCATCCCAATTCATGTCTTTATTTGCTAGATAGGCAGCTGCCTCTGCAGCAGCAATCGCTTTCTTCGCTGCTTTTGCAGCAGCTTCTGCGGCTGATGCTTTATCTTGAAAGTGCATACTTTCATCCTCTCTACCGTTCCTCCTGCACCAGACACGACAACGGAATCGAGTCGAGGAACAGCTCCAATGGAGTGTATCAAATGGTTCCAATGTACCTTCCCTTACCTTTCAATTTGAGCATCATTTCCAGCAGATTGGCTTGCTGCTGCTGCAGGCTTCACAGGTAAGCTAGCAGCGCAAACGAAACTCCGAGGCCCTTCCTGATCAAACGACAACGAAAACGTCAGTAACTTATTACAATATTATCATCAGAGGATAGGAAGAGAGGGAGAATGGAACAAACAATGAGTCCTTCGGGAGGCTTTAGGAGCTCCTTCTCAGATTCTGTTGTATCCCATTCAATCTGGTGCTCCTTAGCAATCTCCTTCATTATTTTAAGCTTCACTTCACCCGCAGGAGTTCGAACAGAGAGCTTGTCAATGAGCTGGAAAATCAAACGCAAGCAATTCAATACAAATTTGAATATAACTGACTTATCACTATCTGCCTCACGGTTTTAAAATGAGGTTTCTACACCCTTATCAATTATGCTTCATTCCCCTTTTCCAACTAATGTGGGATCTCACAATTCATTCCCCTGAGAGCTAACATGTCACAGTCAAAGCCCTCCATCCTCTTGAGGGCAAGCGTGTAACAACCCAAGCCCATCGACGTTCCCTTTCGGGCCCTCAAAGCTTTTAAAAAGCGTTTGCTAGGAAGAGGTTTCCACACCCTTACAAAGGGTGTTTCATTCTCCTCTTCAACCGATGTGGGACATCACAATCCACCATCTTTCAGAGCCCAGTGTCCTCACTAGCACATCACCTTGTATCTACCCCTTCGGAGAACAATCTCCTTGCTGACACATCGTCTGGTGTCTGGCTCTCATACCATTTGTAATGGCCTAAGTCCACCATTAGCAAATATTGTCTCTTATGACTTTTCCTTTCGAGCTTTCCCTCAATGTTTTTAAAACGCATCTACTAGGGAAAAGTTTCTTCTCCTCCCCAGCCAATTTGACCTCAACGGAAAATAACGGAAAATAAGTAAAAGGCCAAAATGTAGTTACCAGCCGATTCACTCCACAATTGGGCCTCAGATCAGTGGCAGCAGACACAAAATCCTTCCCATATTTCTTCTCAAAAACATTGGTAAGTGCAGAAAGCTCTGGAATCTCAGAGCACCTCGGAGCTGCAAAGATCAAACTAGCAACCCCTTCTTTCAGATCTGCCGGACATTCCCTGCAGCAATTGATATTAACGTCACAAGAAAATCCACCCATTACAGAGTTAATTTAGCCAATTCTCCTGAACTTTCTTACCTCTGTTTCGCTATAATTGATAATCTAGCCACAACTAACTCGCAGAAGAGTTCGATAATCTCATTGGCAGCCAAAACATTCTGTTCTCTTATCACATGTTCTACCTGAACAACACAACCTTCATTTCTTTGATTCAAACATTTCAATTTAATCGATTTTAACGAAGGCGAAGAAATTGAAGAGAGTGCATTACCCGGATCCGAGCAGTGGCGTCCTGACCCGACTGAAGAAGCAGAGCAATGTCGCGTCTCATCTGCTTTACCGCCGCCTCTCGCTTGTTCCTCAGCAGCTTTATCCTCGCCACCGCCATTTTCGCCGCCGTTTTACTGTCACAAAAGAAAAACCCCAAAATCCAGAAGAAAAAACAAACGAATCAATCCCTATTCCTCTCAATTTTCCCACATTTTAAAACAAAAATCGGAAACCCATTTCTGAGAAACAATCGTAGTACCATTTGGAGGAGTTGAAGCCACGGCGGAGGAGGGAGATGAACTGCTTGACGATCCTGACGGAACGATCGGCGGCGCTCATGGCCGGAGAAAAAAAAAATGGGGTAACGAAGAAGAAGAAGAAGAGTGGGATTAAGGGAGGTGAAAGTGAAACGGCCTCTGGAAGAGCAAAAGTGAGTGACAGCTTGGGCATAAAAGGGGGATCGTTGAACGGCATATCAGCGAAGGAGGCCCCACTGCCACGTCACCATTTTAGATATTAGCCGTTGGAGAGGATTTTGAAGCGCGAAGGAAGAACCGATGTAGCTCCAGAGTGTACACGTGGCAAGGATAAACTGCCACGTTGGCATGATGTCACTTGTATATAATAGTAATTTAGAAATTCAATCCAATGAGCCGAAGTCGAATAAAATTACTTTTCCACGCTATTTTTTTCGATAAAAAAGATCACGGGTTTTAACGGGGTATGAAAATTTTGCATATCTACTTTGATACGGGGAGCTTATTCTATAAAAATACTAGCAAGGTCTCAACGACAAATGATACCTATATATGTGATATGATAAAGTCAGTGGTACCATTTCAGATTGGGCTGATCTTCTTAACTATGCATGAGGTTGGGCTTAGAGTGAGCATCCAGACCACAAAAGTGCTACTGATATGATTCTTATACCTAATTGAGGGATCTTACAATATACCATTTTGTTTTTTTTCGTCATCATACCTAATCGAAGGATCTGAAGGACCGAAACGTTATCCATCTCTGCCCACAGTTACCATACTCCCGCTAACTTATTTTTAGATGGATTACAAATATTTTAGCGGATTAATTAATTAAAGTAGAATTTGAAAGCATAGACATAGAATTCTTTTCTTTTTGAATATCTATAAAATGTTGACTGGGATCAAAAAAAGATTTGTGTGATTTTCTTTACTTGATTCTTCTAAAAAAAAAAAAAAATCTTTCATTTTAGTCAAAGATTTTATTTAAATATATAATTTTAATAAATTTCAAAGGAGATGGTTCGTCACGATTAAGATGTTAGATAATTAATTTATATTAATAAATTAGAGGACTCCCGAAAATGAAATCAATACATAAACAAAAAGAAGAAAACATGACCTCAAGATAAAAAATGGATTTCATAAGAAAGAATCTGATACATCAAATCTAACAATCTGATACATCCTTAGAGAGGTCGAAAAGTAGCACTATGAACACGAAGATTATGATTCTGATTCTGTTAAAGATAATAGATGACAGATCTGATGCAAATGTTGAGTGGGGAAATGAAGGTTGAAACTGAATTTCTTGAAAGCCAAACCAAAAACGGACGATAGAACAAATATTATCCAAATGGAAGTGATATGATTTTTGGAACTCCAAAGATTCAATGCAGTTCTTCTATTTGATTTGGATTTCAGCTCACAGAGAAAGTGTTCTTGAAGATAGAAGAAGGATTTATACAGACTGAAAATCACTTTTTTGGTTCAAAATCACAGCCAACACATTATCAAATTCAAGGATAGAGTTCAGTTCACGAATGTACAGAGCCGATTTTCATCGCCGGATTTCACGAGGGGGAAATCACAATGCGACCAATTTTACTGAGTAATTATATTCAGAAGAGAAACTCTGGTATGAATCAATTCCCTGAACAATCCTTCTGTTCCATGTTCGATTCTTTCAATGCTCGAATCCAACCCCAACAGTCTCTCTCGAACAATCGATTGAATCTTCTCCTCCGCTTCTGCGTCTCTTCTCAACGATCCGAACTGCATCGCCTCGATCGCCATGTCTAGGTTCTCCAACTCGTTGGCTCTCTCTGCCTGATTGTTGCGTGTGATTGCTCCCTTGTGCACGAGCCTTGACACCACTGACCATCGGCTAGGTTTCGGTCTCCAGTGCACCGGCACGGCGAGGAGAGACAATAGAGAGTTGAAGATGGAGGAGGTGATGGAGCTTGCTTCTCTCAGCACTCTGATCACCGCCACCGTCACTTCGTTTTCTAATTGAAGAGGAGGAGAGGCTCCGGAGGTGTAATCCATTTGTCTGAGCGATGCGAGCGATTTCTTCAAGCTTTCATGCTTGATCTTCTTTCTCAAGCTGATATATGCAACGATGCTGTTCTCGACGCCCGAATCTTCGTATTTGCATCGCCGGATCGCCGATTGGAGCTGTCGAATGCTTTCTTTTATCACCAAAACAGCGTCTCTCGTATTGTCGCAGATATCCAGGAATCTTACAGAGCCATCGACCAATTCCTGTACCCAAATTTCACGTCGGTGTGAGACTAGGGCTTGTTGGACCAGTGGGAGGTTCAGAACCTCGTTTATGCATCTGTAGAGCTCCACCAGGCCGGAGAGAGCGCTGCAATTCGCTTCAATGCTTGAGAAGGAAGAAGAATCCAAGGATCGAAGCTTGGCTAGCTCTTGCTCAACCCGAATCGTGGATGGATGCGATCGAGCAGGTAAGCTTATACATCTATCTCTATACCGACTCCAAGGTGTTTGTGAAAATGCAACCATGGCTATTCTGTTGTAATTCTGAATGAGGGTCTAATGAGGGCAACTAGTAGATGAAATCCACAATTTCCCATCATAGCTTTATATAGGCAGAGTGGATAGAAAAAGGGGAAGTTGTTTAGGATTTGAATGTACCGAATTGAGCATGTGAAGGCGGCCAAAGATTCATCAATGGCGTGGGTTATGAAGTCACATCTTTTGCCGGCTAAAAAGTAATATTAAATTGGCATCCTTCAGTCTCCATATTTAATGGAACTTGATTTTGTTTTCATCTGCTTGCGGGGGAAGTGACTTGTTATCCCTTATTAACATCCCCCATATCTCCACCGCCACACCGCCAATTCACTCTTTTCCATGGTTGAGAGTTGAAGGTACAATAGCGTTGGAAATCGATAGCCATTAAACTAAACCTGGTAGTAAGAGTCAGCCATTAAACTAAACCAAACCATTAGAAGTCTAACGTCATCCCTAGTTGATATTATTCATTTTGGTCTATTATATTATCGTTAGTCTTACGATTGTAAAATGCGTCTACTAGGGAGAGTTTTCACACCCTTATAAGGAGTTGTTTGTTCCCTTCTCCATCCAACTGATGTAGGATCTCACAATCCACCTCCTTAGGACCAAGCGTCCTCAATGACATACTGCCCGATGTCTAGCTCTGATACCATTTGTAATAGTTCAACCCCACTGCTAGCGAATATTGTCCGTTTGCCCCTTACGTATTGTCATTAGCCTCACGGTTTTAAAATGCGCAACTAAGAAGAGGATTTCACACTCTTATAAGGAATGTTTTGTTCCCTTCTCTAACTGACGTGGGACTTCACACAAATCATCCTCATGGACATTAGACCTGATTTCGTTTTACAATAGCAGTCTTTTTCCTCCTCCTATTGTTTTACACCTTTTATAGAAGAACTTTTAGGCTGTTTCAGGGGAGGTTGATGTAAAGTTGACCTTGAAATGGCTCTCAAACTTCTAGAAATTATTAGGCAACTGGTTTTCCCCGGGATGTTGATGGAATCTGAGGTCTTGTAAATTGTTTTAGGGGTAGATTTTGGTGGTGAAAAGGATTAAGGTTTCAAATCTTGGCAAGGATTGAGAGGGATTGGGAGTGGAGCCCAGATGAGATGGCTTGGCTGGGTTCGTAGAGGAGTAGAAACATGAGTTATCAATCAAATCCTCTGGGAAATGGCAGCTGGTGATGAGAGACAACTTATCATGCAAATGATTGGAGATAAGAGCATTTGGTGGGTAGTCATGGGAGGGCTTTACTATTGCGTTATTTCAACTAGTGGTTGAATATTGGAAATGTCTATCAGATTAGATAGAAAACTAGGGGTGGATACCAATTTAGTGCCTTTTTAGCCACACCATTCGTGTTTGCTATGAACTTTATCACATGTCTTGTCGAAACTCTTGAGTAAACCATATTAGTTACTTTTCCTATTCAACAGTTTTATAGGCTGCATTTTGTGCAAACATGTGAGAAGCTGCTTCATTAAGACTCCGCTAACTTTTTTCCACTAAGATTCTAACTCATCCCTTCCACTTTAATTTCTTTTCCATTAGGATTTAGGACTCCATTGATTACGCAAATACAATCTTGTGGGAAGCTGCTTTAATGGAGTTTTCTTTTTCGGGGGATGCATTAGTGAAACTACTGTTCAGAATAGAAGTGGATAAAGAGTGTTGAAAAGAAAGAATTTTTCACAAACATTTTGGCAGGTGGTTTAACAGTCCTCACCCACAACCCTTATTCTTATTCTTAGTGGGTCAGTGTCCTCACTAACACACCGCTCGATGTTTGATTTTGATACCATTTGTAATAGTCAAGCACACCGCTAGTAAATATTGTTCTATATGAGTCTTTACTTTCGAATTTTCCCTCAAAATTTTTAAAATGCGTCTACTAGAGAAATATTTCTACCCTGTTATAGGAAAAACTTCTACTAACTGACGTGGGATCGATTGCAGCGAAGAGGTTCTAACTGACGTGGGATCGATTGCATTGAAGAGGGCACTTGGCTTGAGGAATCAGGTTGGGTTGGTTAAGTTACAAGGTCCATTCAAATTGTTTGCCATGGGGACGTTAAAAGCCTACTGGCAGATTGAGTTAGATGGCTGACTGGGCTTGGAAGCTCTAAGTCAAAAGGTTTCATCAACCAACCCTCCACTCTTCACTTGATTATTGGAGCAGTTGGAAGAGTAGTTTGGTCAAAATCTATGGTAATGTGAGTGAAAATGAAATCAAGGTGGAGATGCGAACATATTCCCCTGAACTTCATCTTTTAGAATATGTACAGATTTCTTGGGTAATCTTAGATAGAATGAAGTATAGAATTTCCTTATAGATTCAACAAGTTTCAACTTTTTAGACTTAGATGTGAATTAATATGATATTATGGTGTACTCTGTTCATCCCTATCTTTTGAACCTTTTTCAGATGGTGATTGAATAAGAACACATAAATGGAAGTGATCGAACAAGCAAGAGATTTTATCATTATCAATGACTAAACTGTTATTCTTGTTTGGATCAAGAACACATAGAACACTATCGTATTATGGACATGGAATTCGAGCTAAATATCCCTATGGCGGATCCCTAAAAGTTGGATGCCTTTGCAGGATTCAGGGTGTCAAAAAATGGCTATGGAAATACAATACATCTCCTATTGAGATATTATGTTCAACAAAGAGGCTCTTGTTTTGATCAATCTCCTGAACACACCATCCAACCCACTCTCAATTTCTTGTGCCGCCATTTCCAAACTCTCCAATCTTCTCTGAGCAATCTGCAACTTCTCAACCTCCATTTCTGCAACAACAGAGCTCAAAGCCACATCCACGTTCTCAAATTCGTTCATGGCACTGTTTGACTCGCAGGCAATCGCCCCCTTGTGCACCCACTTGGTAACCAAAGACCATCCTCGAGCTTTTGGCTTCGTCAATGGTGTTAAGTACAACAACACGGATTCGAAAATGGAGCTGTTGGTTGAGCAAGCTTGTCTCAGCGCTTCAACCACAGAGCTCAGGTGATTATCTGGATTTTGCATTGTGGATGAGTTGAATTTCTCATTCATCTTCTTCATTGATGTTATCAAGTTTTTACCTTCTTTCTTCATCTTTTTTCTATAGGAAATGTAAGCAGCAGTGGTGGTTTTCATGGCGGAATCGCCTTTCCTCCGGCGAAAAGCAGAGTGAAGAGCCCCAACATGCTGTTGGGTTTCTAATGCTATGTCCTTTGCTAAGCTGCAGACATCCAAAAGCTTCATAGAATCATCCAACAACTCGTCCACCAACTGTTTGTTTTCGGGACAAGACAAAACCTGCTGGGTGGAACCCATTTTGAGAAGCTCATCAATGGAGTCATACAAATCCTGTAATCCCAAAAGAGCACCACAAACAGAAGAAGAAGAAGAAGACACCCATGTCTTCACCTTCCTCAACTCCTCCTCAACCTTCACAGCACAGGGATGCAATCTAGAAGGCAAGCTTATGGACCTCGCTTGGTACTTGGCAGCCATTATCAACAACCTTCCTTTTCTTTTTTTTCTCAACAGAGCTAAAGTTGAAACACCCTTAGCTTACTACTTCTAAGTGGGTTTTGCAGGTGCATATATTTATAGAGAGATAGAGAGAGCAGAAACAGAGGCATCATATGGTGGGGGCAATATGCAGCCATTGATAGCAATGAATTTGGACCAAATAATTTGGGGATTGAAGATTAGATTAATGTGAAAAGGGTATGAGGTGTCGTGTAATTTTGTGCAGGGAAGGTGTTTATTAAAATGCGGAAGAGAAGAGTCATAGACGAAGGAAATTGTGGTGCCGCCACATAACCCATTACCGCCTACTCTCTAAAGCTGAGCTGCACACCTACCGAGGGCATCACCAAGCTGTGCTGTCTCTTTTTGCGCACATAATTGGGAGCAAAGTTAGGTTCTTTTCTCTACTCCCAAAATTTAAAATCATTTCTTTATTATTATGTTCAATTTTAAGTCTATCCATTATGGAATTTCTACATAATTGATTCTTAAATTTATATTATTATTTATCTAAAAAAGTATAATATGTTTAAGATGAGGTCATGGGAATCACGATAATATTTTAATATCATTATTATATGCGTAATTTTGAACGGCGGAGATTTAAAATTGATAATAGAAGGGTGTGTGGCGATGGCATAGGCAATGACCTCAAATTACTTCAGCCAGGCGTCACCATTTTAAATCATCAACGTTCACCTTTCCCCTTTTTCCTTTATCCAAGAAGCTATTGTAATTTTTTTTTTTTCCTTTCTATTACCATGATTGGGAGTAGAACCCTTTCGGTTCGGTTTGTTTTGAGTATTCGAGTCAGACCGTCTAAAGAAGTTAATGCAATTTTGAGAAGTTTAATGACGAAATAGATACAACTTTAATCAAATTTTTAGTTAAGTTAAAATTTGACTTTGAACTCTTTTGAGAGTCGTGTGAAGCTTAGCTTACTTTAGCAACCATAAGATAATTTGATGTTCGTGTTAAGTATAAGAGCTTGGTGAAGCAATAGTGAAGCTCGGGTGATGAACGTAATACCCCACTCGAACATGATATTTGTACAACCAAGCGAAGAATTAGAAAAGTCAGAATATCACGAAGAAAGATCAATAAATCAAAAGGGGTAATTATAGGAATTTGGTTCCTCAAAAAAAAAAAATTATTTTTTAAATATTTTAATAAGATTATTTTTTTTTTAACGAATAGTTCGATTAAAATATTTAATTTTTACTAAAAATCTCATTTAAATTATTAATTCCTTGCTAAAAATATTTTTTGGTATAAAATTATTAAATTTCCTTCAAAAGGATTCAAATATATAAAAATAGCACGTCACTAAATATATACAAATTTAAATTTAAATATTGCCAATTATATCACAAGAAAAATAATAATAATAAAAGAAATTTGGAACCTAATTATTAATTTAAAAAGTAAAAAAGAGAGTTTGGTGGGCTTACTTCCGTTGTTGTTGGAAAGGAGGAGACGCGTGTCCTCTTCTTAGAGGACGCGTGTGGCAAAGAAGTGGAGTGTATGCACTATAAATGACAGTCCAATTGGATAAGGACACGTGTGACATTGAGACACGTGATGAAATCCAAAATATTATCCAACAAAAAATGCACATTTAATAATTTTCTAAAGTTCCTTAAGACACGTGTTTCTTTCCTATTGATTGTGGCATGAAAAGGCTTTAAAGTACCATAAATGTATGGAAAATAATCTAGTAAAGAAAATTAAAAATAAGAAAAATAATTAGATGTATACTTTTTAACTTTAATTTAAAAAAGAATATAAAACTTTGGATTTAAAATTGGACGTGACATACCTAACTGATAAAATTAGCAATTCATCAAAATACATTAAAATTAGATACAAATGTTGCAACTTTTATTTATTTTAATTAAAGAAATCGTAAGAATCTCGAGAAAAAAAAAACTCATTAATTTCAATGAAATCAAGTTTTACATAGAATAGTTATCAAACGACCTCTATGTGTAACAATACAAGTCCACTATTAGCAGATATTGCCTACTTTAGTCTGTGACATATTGTCGTCAGGTTCACGATTTTATAATGCGTCTGCTAGGGAGAAATGTGAGATCTCACAATACACCCCACCCCCCACCCTCTTGGGGGCTGGCGTCCTCGTAGGCACACTACTTGGTATTTGGCTCTGATATCATTTGTAACAGCTCAAGTCTATTGCTAGTAGATATTGTCCGCTTTGGCTCGTTACGTATCGTTGTCAACCTCACGCAGGTCTACTTCAACCAATGTCTTGCATCATTCGGTGACTAGTTCTAATACCACATATGCGTATGTTAAGGAGAAATGTGAGATCTCCCAATCCCTCGCAATCCACCCACATACGCAAATGTTAGCTCTAATGCCACATCCCTCGCATCAAGATCTGGGATCTCACAATCCACGCACATACATGTTATAAAATTGTGAGAGGCTGACAACACGATATATAACGGACTAAAGTAGACAATATTTTCTAGCGGTGGATTTGAATTATTACACTATACTCAAGAGTTTGAGTTTCGTGCTATCAAAGAATGACCGATTATATTTATCTTAGATAAAATTGTGACCACAAAGTGGCTAAAATGTACAATACTTCCGAATGTTTGAGATCTCAACAAATCAATGAACCAGCATGTTAAGAAAACACACTCTATATTTAACTAAACATCTGAACATGCAATCCAATTCACTCTCTATTCCTTCAAAACTTGACGCCAATGTTCTAAGCCTTCTTTGTGCCATTTGAACTTCAGCTTTTTTATCATTGCTTTCGTTTTCTCTCCCATGGCCAAGGAGAGAATGGAGAGCAATATCCACACTCTCCAACTCATTTACTATTTTCCGTCCTTTCCCCGATCTCGACCTGATCGTTAACATCAATTGTGAGACCAATGACCACCCGCTAGCCTTCCCCTTCGCCACCGACGTTGATAGGAATGCTAGAAGCTCTCCGAAGATGGAGATGCTGATGGTTCTTGCTTCTCTTAGCAGTCTGATAAGAGGCAACAAATCATGATTCGGTAGATCCAATAAGGGGAAGCTTGTTGTTCTATCACTTTGCATTTGCTTCAATGAACAGAGGAAGCTTCCGATGTCTTTCTTCGCTTTCCTTCGGAAGCTGAAGTAGGCACGAACGTGGCTTTCGATGCTCGAATCTGCTACTTTTCGACGTAAGGCCGATTGAAGGGATTGTATATTTTGTTTCATCACAAGGATTATGTCTCTTGCAGAGCAACAAGAATCTATCAATATAACAGACTCAGTTAAAGCCTCTTCCACAAGCTTCCCCTCCTTATAGTGAACAAGAGCTTGCTGGGTGGAAGAAGACTGAACAAGCTCTCCAACAGAGTTATACAACTCTGCTAGCCCAACCAATGCAGCTTGAATCCCGTCGAGTCCAAAAGAAGTCGTTTTCGCATTGAAAGACAAAACTTGAAAGGATTTTAGGCTCTCCAGCAATGGTTCTGGCTTGAGCTCCACCCTCGCAGGCAAGCTAACCGATCTAACAGGCTGGTGGGCGTCGGTGAATATCGATGAGATCACCATCCTTGGTGTGTAAATTGCTGAAACTCACAAGAGACTTGAATGGCTTGAGCAAAACCAACCAACATAACAGCCAATTTATATGGAAAAGAGAAGTTAACAAAGTCTGTATGCATGCATGTCAAAGCCACAGCGTTATAGACCAGAGGCTCAGCTCTGTTTGATTCTCTTGTAACAGTTTCAGCCTACAAACTGAGCATCTATGTCAAATTTTTTAATAAAATGCTCCACCAATTGGCCAACATCAAGCTCTGACAACAATATACAATAATAAAGTATTGAACATGTTGGCATAGTTGCAGGCCATAATGATACCAATGCCACCCTGCCTCCCCAATAATTGGGCTCTCCTAAACCCAACATAATTTAAGATGAATCAGATGAATAATCATGTGGGTGAAAAAAGAATCAGCTAAATTCAAACCTAAATATTCTCGACCCATGTTTTGTCTCCACCCATGAAGAAGAATGTGCATAGAAATAAAAAGTGGCTACCCCCTTTTAAATGGTGGCTTTGTTAATAGCTATAGCCATGAATCTAGGCTTACAATGAGCAAACATTGCTACTACCATTCCAATATTATAGTAATGTTTGTAATGCAGCAGCAGACAAAGGGCGGGGCATGCGGCTAACACAATGGGGGAAGAGAAAGTTACCTAAATAGCTGGTTATGAAAATCCACAAATGCTCATCAATCACTTTGTAAGAACTTTAAAAAGTCATTGTACAGTGGAATTCAAACACAAAAATCAAGTAAACTATTGCATGATCTTGCTCTATAGAACACCATAATTTTCAGTTTGAGAGATAAAAGAGTAAAATTTCTCATTATAACAGAGAGAAATGGCTTAAAAGAGAAAGTGGGTATGAGAGAAAACAAACCACATGGTGAAAAATTGAGAGAAGACAATGAGGCCCCGTTCGTGGTGAGACACCATGAGGGAGACACAAGAGGAGGTTCAGTCAGGCATTTTGTCGAACATGTGAAGGGCGCAGAGCGAAAAACAGAGCAAAAATCTTTACGGTAGCGGATGAATGGGGAGGTGCATGAATGTAATGCAATCCATTGCCTTCAAGGATAAGAATAAGGATTCTATTATCAGTCACCCAACGAAAAAAAAAAAGAAAAAAAAAAAGAACAAAAGAACGTAATTGTGTCATAAATTCATGAATTTATTGTTGGCTTCCATTTTTTTAAAATGAATTTACAGCTACACTTATGAATCCATGATAATTTAAAATGATAAAATTAGGGAATATATTCCTCCAAAATCTTTTGATATCGGAGTAAATTAACAAGTATCACATTTGAGGTAAATCATATTCCGTTAAAAAAAACATTTAAAAGAAATTAGAGCTATTACATATACCAATAAAATAATAATCATTGTTGTTAAATGAATTCTAAATAGAAATATGTTTGGTTTAGAGTATTCCTGTTGAATTTTTAAAAAATATTTAAAAATGACTAATATTAGTTATGGACATTAATAACCCTCTTAGCACTTTAAGATAAGTAATTAACGTGATATAATCACAAAAGATGCAGTGGAATGTTAAAGCCATTAGAGAATTCAAGTTCCAAATCTTAGAACTTGGAACATGACCAAAACAAATATTCAAATCTATATTGTCCAAAACTTCAATGTTTGAACACTAATGTTAAGCATCTGAATGAATATGACACTGATATGAAGTACGGATGAATAGAGAGAGGGAGAGAAAAACGTACAGATGTACAAAATAATAATAATAATAAATAATAATAATTTGGTATTTATCAAACCATATGGCTTGGCATTGCAATGTGGGTTCTCAACATTAAAGCCTGGCAATGAGTGGGTGTCTCCTAATTCTAGAAAAAAGAATCCACATGAATCAATTCCTTTGACCACTCAAGATGATCATACAAATCATGTTTATTGCCCTAAAAATCACCCAGAATCTAGAGTTTTGTTTGTTTCTCTTGCAAAATGAATTGAAAGTATTTTGTTATGAATACATCGAATGGATTTGGTCTTATACATACGCGAGGAAGGTAATAAAAAAAAGGAAAGAAGATGAGTCCTTCTTCCTTTTATCACTTAGCTTAGGAGCGTGCGAGATGAAAGTCTCATACACGGTTTTGAATGAAAGAAAAAAGTGAGGAATCCTCTTTTCGACTCTGACTCTCCCACTCCAATCGTTGCTTTTCTTTCTGTTACTTCGAAAGTAGCTGGTTCAGCTTCAGCCACTCGAATTTTCGATATTCCTTTTTATTTCTCATCAATCAAATGACATCTTCTTCTAGAAATCCTAGCTATTCTTTGCATGATATTGGAAAATCTCATTCCTATTACTCAAACAAGCATGAAACGTATGCTTGCATATTCGTCCATCAGTTCAAATCGGATATGTAATTATTGGAATAATTGTTGGAGACTCAAATGGTGGATATGCAAGCATGATAACTTATATGCGGTTCTATATCGCCATGAATCTAGGAACCACAACCAACTCAAACTCAACCTAAATAAGTTAGCGACTCGACCCAAATCATAAATCATACCTTTTGAGATGATCGAAGTTTTTTGGGTTCAGCATATTCTCCTGCCATTGTTTGAGCTAAGAAAATTTACCCAGCAAGCTCTGATAACCCGGGCTAAACCACTTTGTTCATCAGCCAGCCAAATTCTTGTTGAGGTTGTCAATCGAGGCCTAAATCAGAGGAACTAGAAACGTGAGATTTGGCAGCTATCATCAGAACGAGTAAAGAAATAGAATTTGGTATCAGCTGCCATCAAAATTGTCGAATACTTGATATTCTAATCCATTCCAAAAGTATAAATCTATAACCACAATTCATAACATTCGAGAAGACTTAAGATGTCACTGCATTAACCTGCTAAAGCGGCAAAACTTATACCATATCGATTGGAGAGAGGAACGAGTGCCAGTGAAGACGTTGGACCTCGAAAGGTGGTGGATTGTGAGAACCCACGTCGGTTGGAGAGGGGAACGGAACATTTTTATAAGAGTGTGGAAACCTCTCTCTCTAATAGGGGCGTTTTAAAAATCTTGAGGGGAAGTCCGAAAGGAAAAGCTCAAAGAGAAAAAATATCTACTATCGGTGGGCTTGGGCTATTGCTATTACAATGTTCATCCAATCTAAGAATATTCTTCTTTACAATTGTCCCACTCTTGAGGAAATGAGTGAGCATCAAGATTCTAGATCCAAACAATAGTAGTAGCGGGACCTTGACTATCTACTATATGTGAGATCGGTTGGGGAGTAGAATGAAACATTTCTTATAAACTTGTACACACCTTTTTTTAGGAGATACATTTTAAAAAATTTGAAAGAAAACTCATAAAAGACAATATCTGTTAATGGTCGTTGGGCTTAAGCTTGGGCAGTTACATTATAGGACAAGATTTGGCTCATTCCTCAGTATAAATGTTCGTTCAGGAAAAATAAAAGGCACCCTTTAACGACATTGAGTAAAAGCAGAAAACTTTCAAAAGATACAAACAATTAATACGAAATGACCAAAGTTGTACCAGTTATATAGCATGGCTTTGCTCCCTCGCCTTCTTCAGAGACTTCAGTGTACTCTCCAACGTTGAATATGCAGCAACATCAGTCATACTTTTACTCTCAACTGCATAATCAAACACTCGATAGGCTTCAGCAATTCTACCACTACTGCAAAGCGCCCGACACCAATTGCCTCGCTGCCCCTGCCAAGTGTCATGGTCATTCTCGTCCAAGCCGTGCTGCATGCCCATACCTCGTTGCTCATCCATTGTGTTGTCTTTTACTGGTATGTTATATAACATTGTTTTCAAATCCTCTCAATCTTGGTTTCAATGTCTACTTGTAAATCTCTCCATCCCGTTTTCTAAAATCTTCTTCTCAAATCGAAGTTAGAGATATGCTTGCATACATTGACTAGCCGTAGGTGACACGAATATAGATTGACTTGACTCACTTGCTGTTGAGAAGTGAGTGTCGTACTATCGCAAAGTCCACTGCCAATAAAAGTGCGATTGTGACCGCAAGCATACAATAGCCCTTCATAATTGAGTTATAAACAAAGCAATTCAGCTTAAAACCCTCCTTAGCCAGCACACTAACCAACCGTGTCGCCTCACGTAGATCCTTGCTACACACATTATCTATCAAGATAGTATAAGTAACAAGATCTGGCTTCGCGCCACAGCTACTACGCATTTTATCAATAAAACCATAAACAGTAGACAGAGCTTTGGATTTGCAAAGTTGTTTAACGAGATGATTAAATGTATAAGAATCAAGAGGCGAGTCTATAGCTTCATCAACCAAACCTGCCGAACAAAGCGAATGCACAGCAATATCCGTGGTTACCTTGACAGGATTGAAGCCATTGTTAACCATGAAATTGAGAATTTGCCGAACCGAATCGAGAGACGAATCAGTACCATTCCCGGAGGTGAAGAGTAAGATATAAAACGTCGATCGATCCGATGAGGTTTTGTGGTGGTGGGGATGAAGGAGCTGTAGAGCTTCTTGGCATCTGCAAGACTAGCCGATTTGAACACCGTCGGGAGTTTAGGCTTTTCGGGGTGGCCGGAGCTCTGACTCGATGAGGTTTTGTGGAGAAGTTTTGGTGTTCGTTTTCCATATAAGGAGCGGTACTCGCCGGACAAAAGCGGAGGCGCCGCCAGAGGACGAGGCGGTTGGTTAACGACCGTGGTGAAGAGAGCTGAACGAAAAGAAGGCGACAATTTCCCCATCTTTCAATTCCCCCGCGCTGATCGAACCAATTGTAAGGGTTTCTTACGGAACTTGAGATTTGCGTGGGAAAGTAAATGGGCCGTTATTCGGCCCAACAAGACAATAAAAAATTGCGTGGGAAAGTAAATGGGCCGTGGTTCGACCCACCAAGATCACAAAAGATTTGAATGGAAACAACGAATTTCCCGTCTTTATTTAAATTTGAAGGTTACATCATTTATTAAACAGAGCAGCCATAGCTTTACTGTAAGCGTAGCCATTTAGAAAGACCTTTGATTGTTGCAATCCAAGTTGTTGCCATAGCCGATGCCCAACAAATCACAGTACCTTTTGTAAAACCCAATTCTATCAGCAACTCTGCTATCGGCACCACGCCCACACTCGAGCCCACCATTGATGATGTTGGTGATGACACCATACCCAGGCACTCTCCCGGCAGCACTGTCGGCGGCCGAAGGCTGCCATCTCCCAGTGATAACATCATGGCACGATGGCTTGTTTCCTTGTGGTGTCATCCAGAACCAAATGGCTGTCTTGAATGCAACAACCGGATCCGTGGCTACCAAATCAGGGTTGTTCAGCAAATTCAAATTTAGCGCCCTACCCGCTGGCCCGTAGTTGTAGTTACTAAAAAACGTTTGATCATTTCACGAATTAGGATAAGAATCTCAGAATTTTGATAATATATTGTGTTATAGGAAGAACAGAGGTCTTACTGGGTTAGCTGAATTGGTCCACGGCCGTAATATTTCTGGCCAGCAGCACACGGCCATTGCTGGTTAGGTGAGCAATATACGTCTTGGTTTCTCTCCCTTATGAAGCAATATCCCCACGCATATGGGCCATCCGGTGCCGTAGCCCACCCTCCTGCGCCACCCTCGTTTTAATATTCATTTGTAAGTCAAAATTGCAACCTAGATTTTTACTAGACGATCTTGAGTTTACAAGCAAGGATTATATCTCGATTGGAATGAGATTTTTTTGGAGAAGTCTATAACAAAAATCACGAGAGCTTATACTTAAAGTGGACAATATTATACCATTGTAGAAGTTCGTAGTTACTAATTGAGACTTCTTGGGGAATGAGGCCTTTTGGAGAAGCACATAACAAAAACCATAAGAGTTTATGCTCAAAGTGAACAATATTATATCATTGTAGAGGTTAGTGGTTCTTAACATGGTATAGGAGTATGTCCTTAACTTACCCATGTCAATAGAATTCACAAATAAATTGTGAGCCTAATGTGTAGTCAAAAGTGACTCAAATGTCGAACAAATGACACTTTATTCTAGAGTTTTAGAGAAAAAGTCGAGTTTTAGTTAAGGGTAGGTTGTTCGAGGGCTTTGTAGGCCTCAAAAAGACTCTATAGTCTAATTTATTCGAGGGAAAGATTATTGAAGATTGTCGAGGGAGTAATCTCACGTTAGCTGATTTAAAAAATGATCATGAGTTTATAATTAAAAAATAGAGACTAGAGATTTTAAGAAATCAAAAGCAAAACTATGAAAGTTGTTTTAACACTAACCAGTGGTTTCATGAGAAGTTTGGCCGAAGAAAGCTGCAAGCTCCCGTTTACGAGTAGCAGCATCTCCGGTGGTACCAAAGCCAGAGAAGGATTGAGCGGCAGTAATGAAAGCATTGTATCTATAGAATCCATTACTGGGGCATCGAGGATCCTTGCTATACTTGAGCATTTGATTGTAAAGGGCTTCGTTGATGATACTTCCAACGCTGCCGCCGCCGCCGCCGCCGCCGCCGGTACTGGGGGGTGTGCACTGGCTCTGGCAATTGTTTTTACAGTACTCGTCGGTGTTGCCGCACCACCCGAACTGGCTGCAGCAGAGGCGATTGGGGCAGAGAGCGCCATTGGCCTGCCGCCCACATTGCTCTGCTGCGGCTCCCAAAACGAAGGCAAAGGCTAAGACAATAAGCGTATGAAGCTTCATTGTTGTTTGGTGTATGAGAAGATGAGGAAAATGGGAAGAGCAAGTGCAGTTATTTATAGGGAGTTTTCCGTAGAATTTTCAAACCCAATTCCAAATATTAAAATAATTTTGGATTATTGTTCACGCTTGACCGCAACCTTGTTTATTAATGTCATATATATATATATATATATATATATATATATATATATATATATATATATATATACATACATAATGAGAATTCTCCTTAATTGACGGGAGTAATGGGTGGGGCCCACTCCAGTCGCAAAATCAAAATTCTATACATAAACAATTTTCGTTCATATATTAATAATAATTTACTTTTTATTTTAAAAAATTAAGGATATTTTTAGATAAATGGGGTGTTTAATTAATTTAGCATGGTTTTTAAAATAATTATTATCAGTTGTGTTTGTATAAAATAAAAAATAAAAAATAAAAAAGAAGTAAATAGATTAAAGTGTTTGGAAAATAATGTTAAATTGTTGTGATTAATAATGACTAAAATAAACGGAGTGTTGTAATTTGATTCTATTTGTTGATAATTTATATTTGTAAATAATTATTTAAAATATTATATCATATATATTTTCAACTTAAATTATATTTTGTTTATTATATATTATTGGTTAAATATAAGAGAATTGGGTGCATTTATTTATTTATTTATTTTACAAAAACATGAGAGTTGAAATAGTGTGTTTTAAAATTTTATTCTTTTGATTTAATTGATTTTTTTTTATTAATTTTTTTTTAAATATCCATATTATTGCTACTATTATATGAATTGAAAATGTTTTGTTTATAAAAAAAAATTATAAATAATTCTTACAAATTATTTTTTAAAACATTTAAGGGGGTTATATTTATTTTTAAAAAAATAAAAACTAAAAAAAAAAATTATTTATTTATTATTATAATTTGTCATTCTAGAAATTATAGCTTTTAAATTCAATCCATAGGTTTAATGAAATTATGACTAAAGAAAATTCAACATCTTATTTTTAATGTTGGTTTGAAAAATCAACTCTGGTAAGCTCTGTTGATAATATCTCGTATTTATCCATAAAACATAAAAATAATATTTAATTATCAATAATTGAGTGTAAAAATAATAAAAATATTTTTGTAACTGTATTTAGAATTTCACATACAGTTTTGGTATATAGTATAGTAGTATGTATGTCTCACACCCATGAGAGATGTATTCCTTATTTATAAACTCATGATCATTTCCTTAATTGGTCAATGTGGACTTCAAAACAACTGACTGTGTGTCAACCCAGAAACAGGACACACAAGGGAATTGAATTGTGAGATCTCTAATAGACATGTTTTAAAACTATCCTGATAATACTTAACAGACCAAAACAAACAATATTTGTTAGCGGCTTGAGCTGTTATACCCTTCCAACTAAGGTAGGATCTCACCGTAAATAAAAAAAACAATCAATTTTAAGCGTAGGTTATAGGCTCATTAAATACATAAATAAAATGAAACACGCAAAAAAAAAATTTAAAAAAAAAAAAAAACTATTTGACCTTCTTAATCCGTATTAAATAACTAAATTCTATAATATTTATTTAAAAAATTACAATAACTAAATTTTATTAGTAAATTTTGAAACAAAATTGATAGTTTTTTTTTTTTTTTTTTTTTTTTTCATTCGTATGAAAGAAATCCATTTAGAAAATTATATTTATTTTTTAAACGCAAGAGGTATAGTTTCTAAACAAAATAATTTAATGATAAATATAAATTTTTAAAATAAGAAAATGAAAGGTGAAGAAGATTTATTAAATTTTAAAAATTAAAAATTAAATCGATAATTGAAATATTTATTCTTCCAAAAAAATAAATTTAATACATGCATGAACACATCATATTATTGTTCTAATATTAAGTTATTTTTGGGTCAAAGTTTAGCATGAAAAAAAAAATATTTGACTTTTCTAAACCCAATTTATATCCTTCCAAATCATTTTTTATTTTTTCGAGCCAACCTGTTAAGGATATTTAGTAATAAATTATAGTTTACCGTATGTATTATATTTGATATTTTATTATAAGACAAATATCTTATTATCATAGGTATCTTTCCATTTATTGTTATTTCTATTTATTACTATTTACATATCCTTGTAATTTATTTGATTATAAATAAGATAACTTTCACACCATTTAAGTATGGTGGATTAATCAAACATTCACATGGTATCAGAGCCCTTTCGGTTTAACAACCCTGATCCTTTCTTTTCAATGGTTTTTGAATCCTTTAATCTTCTTCTCCACCACCCCTGCTGGTTTTGACGCCGCAGGGGCAGTCTTCATGGCTGTCGTAATCGGAGCCGATTGATTACTCTTCGGCTCCACCCTATTGACCTCCAAATCACCTTTCGTCATACTCTGTACATACAACCTCACCTTTTCCAACCCAATCGGTTTTTCCCCTTGGCCAATATAGTCTCTCTCATTTTCTTCCCAATCAACCTTCATCTTTCACATAAACCTTAACCTAAACCTATCAACCTTTTGCAGAGATTTACCTTCGGAATCTGGGTGCCGCATTGGCCTATTCGTCAACCAAGTTGCCGCCTCCCTTCCTGCCAAAATTGGCTTCTTCGCCCGATGAGGCGACTCTTCCGACTGCCTTTCTCGCCAAAATTGGCTCCTTCGCCCAATGTGGCGACTCTTCTGGCTTCAACATTGTCTTTGTCCCTTGCTCTAGGTTTCCCCTTCTACTTCTTGGGGTTAGAAATATTCTCACCAGAGCCAAGGCAGCATCGTCGCTAAGCGACAATCCCTCTTCATGGGTTAGACATATTCTCGCCGAAGCCAAGGCAGCATCGCCGCTGAGCGGCGATCCCTCTGCAATTTTTGATGGCCAAGAACCGGGTTGTTAGCATCTTCATGAAAAGTGTTTCTCAACCTCTTTGAATTTTTCAGATTCAAGCTTCACGTTCGTTTAAATCCGACGCTTAGCTTGCGGTGGGGTGTTAAGGATATTTAGTAATAAATTATAGTTTACCGTATATATTATATTTGATATTTTATTATAAGGCAAATATTTTATTATCATAGGTATCTTTCCATTTATTGTTATTTCTATTTATTACTATTTCCATATCCTTGTAATTTATTTGATTATAAATAAGATAACTTTCACACCATTTAAGTGTGGTGGATTAATCAAACATTCACACAACCTAATATAAATTTTATACAACTGGTTGGTAATTTAATAATATAAAATACAATTCTCGAAATTAGAAATAACATATAATAGTAGTAATTATCTAATTATGTAAAGTCAAATTTAATATTTTTAAGATTTTTAAAATAGAGAAGTTTGGACGATCTCCTCTAGAACTAACGTGGAATCTCACAAATACAATAAAAAAAATTCGACAATTTTGATAAAAAAAAAAGAAAAAAGAAAAACTAAACTGATTTATTGCATAAAGATATGTATGTAGACATTACACATAGCAACAGCCATAGTTGTCTTTTACAACATCAAAAAGACATTTTATTACATGATATTATAAGATTACGTAAATGATTAGAAAGACCTTTGATTGTTGCAATCTAAGTTGCTGCCGTAACTGACACCAAGCATGTCGGAGTATCTTTTGTAGAACCCAATTCTATCAGCAACTCTATCATCGGGGCCATGTCCGCACTCGAGCCCACCATTAATGATGTTGGTAATGACACCATAGCCAGGCACTCTTCCGGCAGCGCTGTCGGCGCTCGAAGGCTGCCATCTCCCAGTGATAACATCATGGCACGATGGCTTGTTTCCTTGTGGTGTCATCCAAAACCAAATGGCTGTCTTGAATGAAACAACCGCATCCGTGGCTACCAAATCAGGGTTGCTTAGCAGATTTAAGTTTAGTGCATTACCCGCTGGCCCGTAGTTGTAGTTACTAGAAAAGTTTGATAATTTAACGAATTAGGATTAGAATCTCAGAAGTTTGATGATATGTTGTGTTATAGGAAGAACAGAGGTCTTACTGGGTTAGCTGAATTGGTCCACGGCCGTAATATTTCTGGCCAGCAGCGCATGGCCATTGCTGGTTCGGTGAGCAATATACGTCTTGGTTAATCTCCCTTATGAAGCAATATCCCCATGCATATGGACCATCCGGTGCGGTAGCCCACCCTCCTGCGCCACACTCGCTTTAATATTCATTTGTAAATCAAAATGACAATTTTTCCAACAAACATCATGGGATCTTGAGCATGAGTTTATAAAGAAATATATCTCAATTAGAATGAAACATTCGAGAAACCCAAAATAATGCTAAGAACTTATACTTAAAGTGGACAATATCATATCATTATATAGGTTAGTGGTTCCTAACATGGTATCAGAGTCATGCCCTCGAAGGTGCAGTCAAAAAGGTCGAACAAAATGTGTACTTTGTTCAAAGGTTCTAGTGAAGGAGTTGAGGCTCAATTAAGGGGAGGGTGTTCAAGGGCTCCATAGACCTCAAGAGAGGCTCTATAGTCTATTTTGTTCGAAGGCTCTAGAGAAAGAGTTTGTTCGAGGGCTCGATTAAGGGGAGGTTGTTCGAGGGCTCCATAGACCTCAAAAGAGACTCTATAATCTACTTTATTCGAGGGAAGGATTGTTAAACATTGTTGGAGGAAGAGTCCCACGTTGACTAATTTAGGAAATGTAACACTAACCAGTAGTTTCATGAGAAGTTTGGCCGAAGAAAGCTGCGAGCTCCCTTTTACGAGTAGCGGCATCTCCGGTGGTACCGAAGCCAGGGAAGGATTGAGTAGCAGCAATGAAAGCATTGTATTGATAGAATCCATTACTGGGGCATCGAGGATCCTTGCTATACTTGAGCATTTGATTGTAGAGGGCTTCGCTGATGATACTTCCGACGCCACCGCCGCCGCTACTGGGGGGTGTGGAAGGAGTCGTGCCACCACACTGGCTCTGGCAACCATTTTTACAGTACTCGTCGGTGTCGCCGCACCATCCGAACTGGCTGCAGCAGAGGCCATTGGGGCAGAGAGCGCCGTTGGCCTGCCGTCCACATTGCTCCGCTGCGGCTCCCAAAACGAAGGCAAAGGCTAAGACAATAAGCGTACGGAGCTTCATTGTTGTTTGGTGTATGAGAATATGATGAAAATGGGAAGGGGAAGTGGAGATATTTATAGGGAGCGTTTGGTGTAAATTAAAATAAAATTAGGGAATGTTGGAGGTTGACCGCTGCCTTGTTTTTTTTATTAACGCCATGTTTAAGTTTGAATCTTCTCACTAATTAATAATTATTATTAATTTCGAGTTAAAACACTATGATTGACCGTTGACTACTACCTTTGATGAGTGGTGACAATGGTAAAGTTTAGATTGGTTGCTCTAACGAGCGGAGGTGGCAACGTGGTGATCTTTATAGTCGGTGGTTGATAACAGCTAGTAGTGGTCGGTGGTTGTCGACCGCATCAGTGATGCAAATGAAGGGTGGAGAGATTTAAAAGTGGTAGTGTGAGGGCGTTTTAATCATTTTCAAGGAATCGAATGGGTTGAGTCGGGTTCAAGTTTAGCATGCTTCCAGTCGACTTGACCCAACCCAAACAATATATATAAAAATTTAGGGTTGACTTGATGTCTGTTGTCGTGCCACCTTTACACGATTGCAAGCCTTCTCTTCTCTCTTACCTTCTGTTTCTAAGATAGACAAAATCACTTAGAGCAATAGTCTATTCTAAAGCATCTAACTATTCCGTCATATCTATGCATAGTGAGTTTGCAATAACCATCATTGTCGTTGTTTTAAAGTTTATTTAAAAATAAAAAATAAAAATTGAACCCAACAATCCAATCAGAACCAATAAGTTGGGTTGAGTCAGTAAACGACCCAAAGAAATTTGATTATAATTCAATTCGTAACGATCATAAGTAGAAAATTCATATTCTTCATTGATAAACAATTTGTTGGACAATATTCAATGCAGTTATCACAAAATATACAGATCCCAAAATCAATACTGTAATTAAGCAATCGTTTCTTTCGAATATCCGTTTCCAATTTCCAATCAACAACGGGGAGATCTATAGGACATACACGAACACATACTTTACAAGCAATGCACTTATCAAATTCAAAATGGATTCGAGCGCAGAAACACTCAGATGCGATTAATTTTTCCTAAGGATATTGAATAGTTACAGGCAAACGATTTGCATGGGATAAAGTAATCATGAAACTCTGACCAATGTACCTTGCAGCTCGTACTGTTTGTTGACCATAATTCATGAACCCAGTTACCATAAGAAACATATTGTAAGTGAAATAATTTCGGATTGGACTAAGTTACTCATTCAACAAATCTAAACATTTAAGTTATCTAAATATAATATATATATATATATATATATTTAATTAATTAGACAATTTTCCAAATTCAATTTCTTACTAAACACTCCTTGATTTTTGTAATTTATTACCATTCAAAATGGAAATGTAGAGAAGTACGAAGACGGAAGCTGGCGGATCTGAAAAGTCAAAGAAGGAATAATAATAATAATAATAATAATGATAAACTTAAATGATCGTCGTGATTCCCGAAATTCCGGCACCGATTATGGATTCTAGATGACTGACGTAGAAAACTTACACGACTACTGGTCGTCCACTTCATCCTGAAAGGCTGCGGCGGCGGTGACGTGGCGGTGGTGATAGTGGAGACGTGCCGTGCTAGGTTTACGTTTTCTTTATTTTTTTCCTTCTCCAAATCATAGTCTTACGGCTGCTTTTAATTCTGTGTATATAGCCTTGTTTCAAAAATCCGTTCAATCTGGGTGGTCCGGCGCCACTGATCTCTCGGTGGAGCTGGTTGTCAAAGCCAGTGTCGTTCCGGTGGTTCAGCCCCGCCGTTGAACACTACTTACGCGACGTTAGCACGCTCATCGCCACCGCATTTCCGGTGGAAAGCTCAAGTGTCAGTGGATATGATACTCTGTAAAAGCAAATTTTAATTATTGAAGACAATATATAGATTTGCTAAACCCAATGTACTTAGCAAGTACACGCCTTAACCATTCAGGTCGTTGATGGAACATTCGCAATTTCAAAGTTTATAAAGAAGGAAGAAATTTAATTCTTTTTAAATAAAAATATATTGATAAGTTTAGTTATTTTAAATTCTATTGGATTAATCATTTTTTGGATAACGTCTTAGGTGGTTGATTTTGACTATATTGTGATTTGAAATGCGCTCTATGATCACATTTTTCTTAAAGAATTAAAAAAAATCGTCACAATTCAATTACCTTAAAATAATCATTAGATGTAGATTTAATAATTTGTATATCTCCAAATAATCTCGAGATTTGAATCTCTCCTACATTTAAGAGTGATAAACTGTCACCCATACGACGATCGTCTCTAACTTACTATATTATTTCAAAGACTTATTATATACTTTTTAATTCAAATTAATTAATTAAGAATTATTAATTAAGGGATATCTTGAAAATCTTAAACTAAATCTATGGTGGATATCTTTGATGATTGCAAGCGCACCAAAGGTTCCAATATGTAAACAATGGTGGTGGAAAATTCAGGCAAAGATTTGAAGCATGAAGGATTATGCATTGATCTTCTTGTTGTTCCCTCTGTCGTTGTTGTTGGGAGCCTCTGCTGAGCAATGTGGACGGCAGGCCAGCGGCGCTGTCTGCCCAAACGGGCTGTGTTGCAGCCAGTTTGGGTGGTGTGGCACCACCCGTGCTTACTGTGGACATGGTTGTCAAAGCCGATGTCGTTATTCAAACCCGACTCCGAGTCCTAATGGCAGCGGAGGCAACATCGCTAGGCTCATCAGCTCTGCCACGTTTGATCAAATGCTTAAGTATCGTAACGACCCAAGATGTCCTAGCAATGGATTCTATAGCTACGATGCTTTTCTCGCTGCTGCTCGATCCTTTAGTGGGTTTGCTACGACAGGAGATGATGCCACTTGTAAGAGAGAATTGGCGGCTTTCTTAGGCCAAACTTCTCATGAAACTACGGGTTCGTTAGAATGATTTGAATTGACTTTTTAAGTGTTTAGTTATGAAAATAGATCGTTGTAGAAGCTAAATATAAATTGTGGTGTAGGAGGATGGCCAACCGCACCCGATGGTCCGTATGCATGGGGGTATTGCCAAATAAGAGAAATCAACCGGGGTACTTATTGCTCACCGAGCTCGCAATGGCCGTGTGCTGCAGGCCAACAATATTACGGACGCGGACCCATCCAAATCACATAGTAATTTTTCAATCTCGTTTCTACTTTAATATAAGTTCTCGTAGTTTTGCTTTTGGATCCACCCAAAAAAATCTCGAGCATGAACCTTTCTCTACAACTTCGTTTGCACGAGAATTAAGATATTGTTTTGTGACATCCCACATCAGTTGGAGAAGGGAACAAAACATTCCTATATGTGGAAACCTCTTCCTAGTAGATGCATTTTAAAACTGAGACTGATGACCATACTTAACGAGTCAAAACAAATAATATCTAGTAGTGAGCTTTGACTGTTACAATTGGTATAGAGCCAGACACTGAGCGTTGTGCCAACGAAGACGTTGGGCTCTCAAGAGAGGTGGATTGTGAGATCCCACGTCGGTTGGAGTGGGAAACGAAACATTCCTTATAAGGGTGTGGAAACCTCACTCTAGTAAATGTATTTTGAAACTATAAGGCTTGACGATACCTAACAAGCCAAAGCAGACAATATTTACTAGCGGTGAGCTTGGACTGTTACAAATGGTATCAGAGCCAAACACCGAGCGTTGTGCCAGCGAGGACGTTGGGGTCTCAAAAGAGGTGGATTGTGAGATCCCACATCAGTTGGAGAGAGGAACGAAACATTCCTTATAAGGGTGTGGAAACCTCTCCCTAGTAAACGCGTTTTAAAAATATAAGACTGACGGTCATACGTAACTAGCGAAAGCGAACAATATTTGCTAGTGGTGGACTTGAGCGGTTACATGTTTACATATTTTGAGTTTACTTGATTTAATGGTTAGCAACTACAACTACGGGCAAGCTGGTGGAGCACTGAGATTGGATTTACTGAACAATCCAGAGCTGGTAGCCACGGACGCAGTCATAGCATTCAAGACAGCCATTTGGTTCTGGATGACGCCACAAGGAAACAAACCATCAAGCCATGATGTTATTACTGGCCGATGGCAACCAGCAAATGCTGATAGAGCTGCTGGAAGATGGCCTGGTTACGGTGTCATTACCAACATCATCAATGGCGGGGTTGAATGTGGAGGCCGTGCTGCTAACGCGGTGGCTAGCAGAATTGGGTTCTACAAAAGGTACTGCGACATATTAGGCATCGGCTATGGAGATAACTTGGACTGTAATAATCAGAGCTCTTTTGCCTAAACGTTAAATACTTGGTGTAATAAAATCACGAATATTTTTGTCATCATACCTATGAGACATAAATATTTGTGACCTTATCTTAATGAAAGTAAACGTCTTTATGTACGTGATGTAACTTTGTAGTGTTTGTAATATTGGGGATGGTTGGGTGAGGAGTCTCACATCGATTAATTAAAGGGTTGATCATGGGTTTATAAATAAGGAACACTATCTTCATTGGCATGAGGTATTCTGGAGAAACCAAAAGTAAAGTCATAAAATGTTAAGCTCAAAGTGGACAATATCATGTTATTGTGGAGAGTCGTGCTTTCTAACATGGTATGAGAGTAATGCCCTTAACTTTGCTATGTCAATAGAATTCTTAAATGTTGAATATAAAAGTTGTGAGCCTCAAAGGTATAGTCAAAAGTGACTCATGTGTCGAACAAAGGATTTATTCCGTTTGAAGGCTCCAAAGAATGAGTCGAACCTCAATTAAGAAGAGATTGTTCGAGAGTTCCATAGGTCTTGAAGAATACTCTATGGTATATTTTGTTCGAATGAAGGATTGTTCGTAGAGGAGTCGTTTAATTAGGAATGATAATGAATTTATAAATAAGAAACACACCCAAATCCAAGTAAAATAGAATGGCTCTCTCTTCAAATTTTGCAAATCAAATACACCACAAATTGTTGTCTTGAATCGAGATTATTGGAACAAGAAATGCATTCCCAACTCTAGTGTGCTTGGGAAAACTGAAACAAATCATAATAATAATTCAAAGGCGAAGGCATATCTTGTTTCTTGATTCAGGAAACTGGGCAGGATTTTGACCACCCAAAAATGGTATAAATTGTTTATGAATGGTGGGGTAAGTTATTCTCCCTTACTTGATCAATCTAAAGCAGCTATGACTGCATCAACAACCTCTTGAGTCGTGCTCTGCCCGCCGAGGTCCTTGGTCCGATACTTGCCTTCGGATATCACCTTCTCTACCGCTGTCTCTAATCGATCCGCAAAAGAAGGAAACTGGAGATGTCTCAGCATCATGGCAGATGACAAGAGCAGCGCTACAGGGTTTGCCTTCTTTTGTTCCACTAGTCTCTCATTCCCCACATTTCCTGCTGAAGCTCCTTGTTCAAAAACAGCGTGATCAGCACCAACATTGCCTGAATAAAGAACACTCCAAATTGTGAGATCCCACGTCGGTTGGAGAGGAGATCGAAACATTATTTATAAGGGTATGAAAACCTCTCCCTAGCAGACGCGTTTTAAAACCTTTAGGGGAAACCCATAAGTGAAAGCTCAGAGAACAATATCTGCTAGCGGTAGGCTTGAGTTGTAACAAGAATCCAGCAATATTTAATCTCCTACCTCATAAGAAACCAAAACAAAGCGACTCCGAGCTCGGGGAGACAGAATTTCAACAGTTATTTTTCAATATTGCATACCCATCTGCAATATTCCCAGTTGCGGATGAAGGAAATAAAACAATTTCACCTTCTATCCATCTTAAATTTGTTGACATACAAGATGAAAAGGGCAAGTACGTGACATGATATGCCATATGCTGTGTCTGCCTTAATTAAGGTTTCTAATAAAAACTTGAGAAATGCTAAAATGTAAGCATTGAATCTGAATCTGTGAAAGATTTGAGCATACCTCCCGGCATAACTCCTGTTCCACCTGCTATACCAGCAGCTGTGTTTGCTACAAGATTTCCATACAGATTGGGTGTCACCTGCAAAATTATATCCAATCATAATCAAATATCATCTCCTACTTTCCAAATCTGTGATAATCGAAATGTAACTTTTCTATGAAAGGAAAGGATGCATCAATCAATGAAATTAGTAATCCACGGAACAGAGGGGAACTTATTTCAATTCCCACCCCCAAGCTTTCTACCTCTTACCTCCTTCCTCTCCCAGAAGGGAACAATCATAAATAAGATTATCTAGGTTTTTTCTTTTCCTCCTTCCCCATATAAGTGGATGTAATAGACAAGGAAGAAATGAAGGTGTGAGATCCCACATCGGTTGGAGAGGGGAACGAAGCATATCTTATAAGGATGTGGAAACCTCTCCCTAATAGACGTGTTTTAAAAATCGTGAGGCTAACGACGATATATAACGGGCTAAAGCAGACAATATCTACTAGAAGTGGGCTTGGACTGTTACAAATGGTATCGGAGCCAGCAAGGACGCTGGGTCCCAAGGAGGGTGGATTGTGAGATCCCACGTTGATTGGAGAGGGACACGGAACAAGCTAAAGCGGACAATATTTGCTAGCGGTAGCCTTGGGCTGTTATAATAGTAGTGGAGAAGGAAAAAGGGAGCACCTGCCCGTCCCAGTAAGACATCATCAAATGATATTTGACCATTGGAATCACCCAACCATTTCAAAATGTGAACACAAATTCGCTGCATGTTCTTGACCATGTATTAAGACCTTACAATGTGATTCAATTGTACAAGTGCATACCATGACATCAAACTGCTCAGGCTTTGAGACAAGTTGCATGCAGCAATTGTCGACAATAACTTCATTGTACTTGATTCCAGGATACTTTCTGGCAACCTCTCGACAAGATTCTAGAAACAGACCATCTGCAAGCTTCATGATATTTGCTTTGTGCACGGCCGTAACTTTCTTTCTGTTGTTCAGGTAAGCATACTCAAAAGCATATTTAGCAATGCGCTCAGAACAGAACTTTGTAATCACCTGGCAATAGAGTGAGTATGAGAGACAAAGATACTAAGATAAAGGGGGAAAGAACCTCATAATGGAAAGTAGAAAAACATCTAAATCATAAAGTTCTAATGAGCACAACCTCGTCCAAACATGCACCTCGAATGTGTATATATTGCTAGAAAAAACGGGAACATTCATCAGAAAACAGGAAAAACTGTTAGGAACCACAAATCTTCACAATGGTATGATACTATCCACTTTGATTTTAGTTTTCACAAAAAGCCTCATGCCAATAGAGATGTATTCCTTACTTATAAACCCATGATTAACCCCTTAATTAACCGATGTGAGACCCTCTCTCAACAATCCTCAACAATTCTCCCCTTGAACAAAGTACACTATAGAGCCTCCCATGAGGCCTATGGAGTCCTCGAACAGCCTCCCCTTAATCGAGGTTCGACTCCGAACAAAGTACACCTTTTATTCTACATTTTAGAATTTTATTGACATGGCTAAGTTAAGGGCATGACTCTGATACCACGTTATGGATAACAAATCTCCACAATGGTATGATATTATCTACTTTGAGAATAAGCTCTCATGACTTTGATTTTGGTTTTTCCAGAAGGCCTCGTCCTATTGGAGATATATTCTTTACCTATAAATTCATGACCGACCCCTAATTAGCCAATGTGGGACTCCACTCAATAACGCTCAATAAAAACTATAGAAGCTTGGAATTGTGAACATGGTAACTCAATTAGGGGATCAAATTGAAATAACTAGCATTGCGCGTAAAGATAAAAGTACCTTGAGGCTTTCCACGACGCCAGGAACTACCTCGTGCTCCAAACCTGCGTACTCACCCTCTGTATTCTCCCTAATCACAACAATATCCACATTCTCATGCCTGGTAGGAAGCCCAGGAAGATTAAAGCAATTCACAAGCGACGCATAGAGATCAAGCTCCTTCCTCAGCTGCACATTCAGCGAACTCACACCACCGCCAACAGGGGTCACCAATCCTCCCTTCAAACACACTTTATTCTTCTTAATCGAGTCAATTGCTTCTTGGGGAACCTTCTTCATGTCGCCATGAACCTCAAACTTCTCGAAATACAAAGGGGCGTGCATCGCATCCATGACTTGCTCCACGGCGCCGGTAACCAAGGGGCCAATTCCGTCTCCGGGAATCAAGGTAACGGTTCGGGGAGCGCCGTCTCCAGGTCGGGGCATATAAGTGACGGATCTATTATGAGCATCGATTGGGGATTTGAAACATGAGGACAAAAGGGCAGGACTATCGGAAGCGGAGGATTTGGAGAGAAGCTGCTTGAGGATAGGTACGGATCTTCGAGCCATCGCTGGAAAAGAGTTGTCAGAGTCGAGCTATTTAGCGTTCCGGCGGCGTGACGGTGGTCTAACAATCGCGATAGGTCATTAGAGGGACGCCGGAGAGGGTGAAGAACAGCGGGATGAGAAAGTCCAAAGGGAGAAAAATAAAAATCAGCGTTAGACAGCCAATAGAAAAGGAAGGAAAGGGTGAGGTATGTTCCAGAGCGGACAAGATCACTGGATTTTCGTGAAACTCGTACTACTGACCAATAGTTGACTTGCTTAATGTCGGCGCTATCCGCATAATGTCTCTACAATTTAGGAGTCATTTAGGTTTTTTTTTTTTTTTTTTTTTTTTTTTTTTTTTTTTTTTTTTTTTTTTTTTTTTTTTTTTTTTTTTTTT